TCCCCTCCTTTACCACATAGCATAAAAATGCAGCGTATCCACAGTGAAGGGCCTTTCCTCGTGGCAGCAGCACTGCGGGGCAGGGGGATATTCAGCCTGAACAGACACGGTGTATTTGGTGTGGTAGGGAAGCATGGCCAAGACAATATTATGTGTAATCTTACATAGCAAAGGCAGGCAAGTAAACTGGAATGCAACCTGTCAGGTGCCTGTGATGCTGGAGCTGATATGAGAGGTGTCCAAACAGGATAACTCAAGTTCTGGGAATAACACTGCTAGTCACAGCACCCAGACACAGCTGTTTCCCACCTGATCACATGCAATGCACATGCTATTAAATGAATGGATGTGGGCTTACTGGGATGTACTTTTAGCACCCTTATCTCCTATTTGGGATTGTAGCCTTCCAGCCTGGGTGTTGGAAATTACTGCCTGGAGTAATTCTCTCTGGAGAGAGAATATCTCTCTGGAGTAATATCTCTCTGGAGGAGATAATGTCTCCACTGACTCTGCTGGAGGGGGGAGACCTTGACACCTACCTGAAAGGTATGCTGGTGGGATTATTCCAAATACTGAATCAGTTAAGATCAGTCTCCTCTCTTAATATGCAAAGGAACTAGCTTTGCATATGAAGTTAGACCAGGAACAACCTGGTCCAGCAGAAGGTGTCCCTGCCCGTGGCCAGGGGGTTGGAACTCTATGATTTTTAAGGTCTCTTCCAACCCAAACCATTCTGTAATTCTGTGATTCTGTGATAATGAACTTCCAAAAACTGTGTCTTTTTCTTTTACCTTTCAGACTCAGCGCACTGAAGGTGGGTTTGTTGGAAAGGCAGTGGTAACTTGTGATAACATAGAACAGAACCAGATCCACCTATGTTCATTTACATTTCCAGGTGTTGCTATTAGACACTTCTTGATGTCTGCCCCCCAACTTTGCTCCCGCAGAGATCAAACTTGCTGCCTCTTTTTGAGGTGAATAATGGCATGTTCCCAAGCAGTCAGTGGCTGTCAGTGCTTTACTCACAGAGCATGTGAGGTGCTACTCGTGAGGAGCTGGCAGGCCCTGGCTCTGGATTGGTGTCGGATGTTTGTGTTTCCTGGATCGCGTTACTCACACAGGGACAGCGGTGTCTGAGTCTGACAGGAGACATCTCTAGTAATGCCTACTCTGAGAAACAGACTGCTTCAGGAGAACCCAGAGGTGGCTGAGGAGAGGACATCCAGAGCTATGCTTGGATTTAAATGAGACCCTGTGGTGATTTGCATTTAAAAGGATTTTGTTAATTGGACAAGTAAATCAAATACATGCAGACAAACCCTCTGTTACCAGCAAATGGTCATAAGGTTCAATGGGTTCATAAGGGGAAAGGGGAAAGGGGAAAGGGAGAGGGAAAGGGAAAGGGAAAGGGAAAGGGAAAGGGAAAGGGAAAGGGAAAGGCCCCAGAAGTGGTGAGTCACTGGGTGGAATTCATCAGTCAAGCAGTGACACAGTCAACAGCACAAAGCTGATATTCTTAAGCCTAAGCCATTAGAGCATTCTGCCTACCTAGGGAGAGTTCCTCAGTAGTTGTGATACCAGGATACACCGTGGTTTGATATTTCTGCAGACATATTCAGAGCTTCTGTCCAAGCATAAGAGGCTCTGTTCCAGGAGAGCAATGGGAGCAGGAGTGCAGCTCTCAGATGAGTGCTTGTCTGAAAGACAGTCACTCAGAGGCCAAAATTGGGGGGGCTTTGCCTTTTGTGTAACTACATTACATAAAATATGTACTTCAAAACAACAACTGAGTGCCCTACATTGCCTGGAAGCAAATTCTATTGTCTTGAGTGACCTCTTAACTGAAGCATGGACTAAAGCCAGGCGAAGGCTGAAGTGTGTGTGGCACACTGAGATGGGAATGAGGGCTGGCAAGTGCCATTGTTCTCCACTTTGCCTCCCGGTGAACAGCATTTAATTCTGAGTTTGGTTGTCAGAAGAGATTAGATATCTAAATTCTGGAGGTCATGAGTGTCTGTCTGATCTCTTAGGTGCAGAAAACATGTTGTGCAGCAGAAACTGTCAGATGCATGATTAAATAATTTGTGTATTACCACAGCAGTATTGTGCATGTTTGCAGGAAGTCAACTTTTGAAGAAAACCACTTGAAAAGTACAAAAATAATTAAATTAACAAGAGTCTTGGGAATAAAGGATTCATTTTCCCAGCAGACTGACAGCAGGGATGAAGGCTGGGTTATCAGCTCTATGTAAGAGAGGTCTTTCTGTCAGAGCAGCAGCACTAAGAGCTGTTCTGAGAGAGGCTCTTTCCTGGTGAACAGCACCCAAACATAAATATTCCTCGAAGATTAGTGAAGGCTATGATGTGAATGATGGAAGGAAACCAAAGAGTAAAACAGTATTGCAAAAGGGGGAGAAAAGGAACGAGCTATTATTTAAAATGCTTACCAGCAGAGGACACATCTGCTGGGTTTTGGCAGAACAAAAGGACATTGCAAAGAAAGTCAGGGAAGTGCTGCTTTGCAAAATATTCTGCAGTCAGCTCTGAAATCATATGTGTACATAACTTCCAGAGGCTTGAGCAGAAGGATATGAAAATGTCTGCTGCATTTTTTCTCCCACAGACAAGGGGATATATTTTTCCTTATAAAAGTAAAGAATGATGAAAAAAAAATTCTGAGGAGTTATGCTGCCCTGGAGCACTCCCACAGAGGATCTCCATATGGGGAGAGCCTGTGCCACCTCTCCATGACAATTAATTGCAATCATTGCTTGTAGGGTGTTTAAAGCATGTGTGTCTTGCTCCTGCTGTCCAAAAATGCCATGGGATGGGGAAGAAGGAAAATGTGCTCCTTTCCTGCCTGCAACCAACATTTTTCTGTGCCACATGTCCAAGGCCCATGACAGAGAGGATGGAGATACTTCCGCAAGATGTCCAGCACCTGGAGGCACCCTGTGCTCAGCGAGAGCACAGTGCCAGGCTGTGGGACCCTCCAGCCTCCAGGCAGGTATCTCCTACCTGGATCCATCTCCTCCTGGACCAGCGCCAGTTCTCCCACTCTGACCCCAGCTCCATGCACTGGCATCTGGGACTGACAGTGACAATAACAGACTACCTGGTGCACATATTAAGCAAAACAAAATAAATGCAGGAAATAGTCCTGTTTGGATGTGAGGGACAGAGAAGTCTGCACAAGTCCTGTTCTGGTCAAAAGGGTGAGGCAGAGCATGGTCCCTGCTCTCCCCTGGCTCAGAAACAGATGAGAAGACAGCAGCTAGGAACACTGGAACTCATGGACTGTTTGCTCTCTCATCACTTGTGAGGCTTTGGAGGGGAAAATTGCAAGGAGGGGTCATCAGGGAGGATATGCTGAGGGAAGGAGCTCTGGGGAGCATGACTGCTGCTCGTACTCAGCACCCACTCCCTGGGGAAGAGGTCACACTCTCCACCCTGGTGTCCTCACTGCCTCCAGCCTTGCTTTAAATAAGGCAATCAAAGGAAAACACGTTTGTCGTGCTAATGTAGAAACTCTCATCCCATGCAGCAACAATTTTGCTTGCATCTTATTTTCTCCCTCCCTTACCTTTGCCTACACATGGCTCTCCTGTGGGCTGTAGAGGGACTGAGCAGTGGGAGCAGCCTCAGCTGCCTGCTCTGCTCTGGTAGTGAAGATGATTTATAATATGAGCAAAGAAGGGAGGGTTTGTCCAGAAGGAGGAAGCTGGTGTGAGCAGAACTTGGTAAGCAATGTCACGGAGATTTGTTTCCCCAAACAGTAAATTATAGGCTAACACAGCTCTGTGTTTCACATGAATTTTATTGTGTTTTGCAGGAAATTGCATACAATCAATCAGGTCACTCCAACAGCAGGTAGTATGTTTCATGTGTGCAGTCTGGTCTTTTTCTTTTCAGCTACTCAGCATAATTCTTAGCAGGATTTTATGCTCTAAAGTGTAACTAAAACGATCAGCATCCAAGGGGACATCTCTTCTTATTGGAGTAAATGACATTTTTTGGAAAATTCCTAACTATCCTGAAATTAGGAAGAGGCATTCTGTCTGTTTGTAAAAATTCAATAATATCTCTGCATCATTTCCCAATAAGAATATCTGAAAATATTCTCCATAGACAAAATGTACTGCCAGTGTCGGAGAACATTTTCTTCAACACAGAGCTTTTTATTTGCTGTAATTTTTGTCATACATCACCATTTCAAATCTTTTTATGAACAACAACTGAGTTGAAAAAATTTTATTCTGAAGAAAAGATCTGGATTTGCAAGAGAAAAGAAATGCTAATGGAGCTGCAATTGCTATAACAAAGTACATTTAAAAAACAAACCCTGATGGCTGAAGATTAATCATCTGACAGTGAGGAAAGTAATGCTTAAGGAAGGAACACAGACATTGTGCCTGTGAGTGCCAGCTTCCATCTCCGTGTACCTCGCCTCACCTCTGTGCCATGGCACACTGCTCCCAGCCTTGTGCCAGCACAAGTTCCCTCCTGTTACATTGTGTTTCTGGGAGTTAAGATGGCTTTTAGATGAAAAACAATGGGCTGAGGAATTTTTAGGGGCAAATGAGACCCCCCCTCTCTGGTTTAAAGTGAGGAAACACACAGGGCACTGCCAGCAGAGCGAGGGCACGAGTGCTGCAGCGTGGAGGCAGGAAGGAGCAGTTGCAGAAGTGCTATAAATTGGAGTGGCTGCTGAAGACTTCCCCCAAAGTAATGGGCTTATTTTTTACTTTTCTGCAACAATATTTAGCCTTTTTTTTCCTGATGTCAAAGCACGTACATATTTATTTTCCATAGATAGAACTGCACTGAGAAGCAAATATGTTTTTAGGGAGTCCTTTTGCCCACAGCTATCTGCAATTTCCCCTCTAATTAAAACAGGAACTTCCATTCCAAATTACCTTCTTGTCTGTTACAATCCTGGGGACATCATCTGTACAATTAATTATAATGAGACCTAGCATTAAAACTAGGAATTGGAAAAAAAATCCTATAAAAACAAAACAAAGAGTCCATATTTCAATCATTAAAAAACAAAAGGAATCAAGGCTTTCCTTGATTTTGGATAGTCCGTAAATGTCTTGAGATAGTACCTGAAAGAAAATAAGCAAGACAGTGAACCTGCATACATAGAGGGAAACTGCGCAGTTTCAATACAGATCAGCTGAGGAACCTTAAAACTGCTCCAAGCTGCCTTTCTTTTTTACCTCGGTGTGTAACTCTGCAGAAGAGCAGCTCCAGAACTATTTACACCCAGTTATTTCATTAACTGATAATACTGCTAAAGTTCTAACAGGCCTAAAGTAGAAATTTTTGGGATTCAGAGCATATCTATTCCAAAGGACTGCAGAGGTTGCAAGGGAAACCTTTAGGAAAGGCTCAGGTTTATGAGGCTCAGTAAAGAGAGGCTTTAGCAGGGTGGAAGCAGTGATGCAGCTCAGGTCACATCCTATGACTGTCAGGCTGGGGGCAAGCTGATTGCTTGCCTTGCACAAATAAGCCAATACACATCCTGTACATGGCTTTAGATTTCAGTTTTATCCCAAATCCTGGCTCTAGTCCTCCCTCGCATTTTGCAAACTGCATTCCAAGGGGAAGTAGCAGCATATGGCAAGGAACAGTTTGATACCTGTGATGGTGATAAGCACGTGGACCAATGCAGCAAAGAGTGAAAAAGGCAAAGGCGAAGGCGGGTAGGGACCAGGTTGCAATGGCAAAACCAAACCATTCCACAATTTCTCCAAAGTAGTTGGCTCCAGAAACGTAGGTGAACAGTCCTCCTGCAGCAACAGAAAAATATTTAATTTTTACAGTCATCTCCTGCACATGGAAGGTTCTTTCACATAAAGCCAGCAGCAGAATATGTACCCTTTCTTATACAGCCCATAGCAGCAACCTAAATGCACTTCCCTGAAGCCAGTGGAGCCATGGCAAAGGGGGATCTTGCTTGAAATTCTTGTATAAAAACAAGAATCAAGGGGGATTCTGACTCAGAAGTTTCCAGCACTTTCACAATAATTTCATTTGGAAAATAACTTAAGAAAGACCATTATTAGATTTAAATTATAATAATTACCATTAGTCAGTTCTTTTTATGCCCCAAAAATATTTTGCAACTTCACTACCTATGGGGAATGCAAAATCTGGATCTCAGTTTTTCACAACATTTACAAGAGGCTGGTAAATATTGGAGGTGAAAAACTCTGGGAGAGACATATCACCATCCATAACAAGCCAGCAGAAGGAGTCAATATCAAGCCCAAGAAATTCTTGGATTCCAATCCATGTTGCTCTGCAGAGCTAGACATTTCCTGGAAAGGCAGTTCAATACCTTGGTGTTATTATTTTCCCCTAAAGTTTACACTTTGAATCCACCTTTTGCACCGTAAGAAGTCCACTACTAGTTCTTTCTGGGCATGGAGAAGACTATTTCCTTCTTTGCAGCTGCCTTTTGCAAAGCTAAAATCCTCTTCCTGTGTCCACTTCAATCTTCTGTGTTTTCCAGATACTCTTGCTGCTTTCCTTGGAGTGTTTGCAGCCAGCTCACACCAGTCCCTGCAGCTTGGGGGGGCACCTGAACCAAATACCTGTGCAGGACCAGCTTCTCTGGCATTATTGTCACTCTCCTGTGAATTCAGTCAGAAAACATTATTTTTTCTGCTGCCCTACTTCCTTCAAGGAAGAGGGGATAGGAATATACCTTGAGGAATCTTGTAAGTGACTTCCCCGGGTTTCCTCAGTTGGCGCAGCAGGAGATCACTGTGAATGTTGATTCCCATTCCCAGCAGAAATAAGAGGAGGCCTAAGAAACCAACAAGAAATGGATTAGAAAGGCAGCTCTGTCTAGATATCCCTGCTCAAGCTCATGGGTGAGGTTTGTCTTTGCAGCAGACAGATAGGGGTCATAATGTTAGGTGGGTGGATTCTTTTTCAAGTCAAAAGATGTTACCAAGAAGGCTACTGAACAGGAGAAGGTGACTGGTGACACCAGAGCACTTTCAGCTGAACATCCAGGTGACCATAGTCCCCATTTATTGAATACTCATGGTGGGACACAAAGTACCCCATGGCCACCACAGCTGATGACAGCCAGCCACAGCTGTGCACATTACTGCAGAGTAAGCACTGAGCTGTAGACAAGTACCAAACCCCTCATTTTACTGCTGAGGAAAAGGGAGCACAGAGACACAGAGTTATCCAGCACAGCACTGGAACTGGGAAAGGAACCTACATCTCAGCACCTCTCAGTTCACTGCCAGTGAGGCTGCCTGGACAGAGCTTTGGCTGTGGATGGAAAGCAGGTGCTTGCTGAAGGATGCTGACATTATCTGGCCACAGTCATCCATTGACCAGATTCCATTTAACTGAAAAACTAGAGGCATTTGATGGAGAAAGTCTGCAGGTGACATGCCCTTCACTTTGTGACATGTTGGACACTGAGAAAACCAGATCTGACAATGATGGGAAAGCAAGAAAAGAAATAGTGTGTGCACTACAATGTATAGATAAAAGACTAAATGCTGATAAAACTTCAACATTTCCAGTAGCAACAGAAAGTTGGCAACAGTCTGTAGCAGAAGAATATACTGTTTGTTTTTTCCTTAGTATTTCAAGTACTGCTAGTGCTGATTTTCTTTTTTGGTTTTTTTTTTTTTTTAACATTAAATATGTATTTTATTTATCATGAAAATGAAGTTATATGGTGTTTTCTTTGTTGGATATGTGAGGTCTTACTAAACAATGTCCAGAATTTTTAGTAGGTGGTGCTGTCTGAAAAGACTGGATTTGCATCCATGGTCTGAAACGGTACAGAGTACCTTGGTTAGTTTGTACTTGTCATATCCAAAATGTTTCCTCAGACCTCCATGTTAATCCTCATTTCTATGTTTACTTTTAAAACCACTCTCTGTGCAGTACCAAATCTGTAATGCCATCTAACTACTCCTGTTCAGTTATTCTTTGAGAGATTTTACAGGGTGAAATGTAGCTAGGCTATTAAGTTATGGAATATAAAGGAATCGTATTAACATACAACCAGACTGTGCATGATCTCTAATCTTCCCCCGTGCCTTACATGAGAAAAAAGAGCTTTTTGTCCCTAAAGCCTTATTCATGCTGGGGTTTTGCCCTGCTTTTCTCTCTCACTCAGAATAGCTGCATCGAGTGCAAAGCTCCCTGGCAGGGAAGAGAAAGCCACAGCTTGCGCTCACACACAGCCACTGCTGGGTGCACACTTCTGGCTGAGCAAGGGCACACCCCCATGCACCTGTGCCAGAGACTGCATCTCCATGGCCCATAGCAGCAGGAGGCTCTGGAGTGGTGTCAGTAAAACAAGGCTCGTGATTTGAGGCTAACACATAACATGATATACCTTTAAAGGTGGCTGCCTAGGAGGAAAAAAAAAGTTACTGCACATTTACTTGTTTTATCTGGGCCAGCAAGCAGGTCTTATGCTGATTTCCATCACAACAGATTTGACTCACATATTCACTGAAGATTAGGACATAATTCAAAATGCTTACAAATTGCTTGGAGATTAGATCTTGGGAATCCTGCAGCTGTAATTACCTGATGTAAATCTGATGTCGGTGCACCAATCGTTTGGGTATTCAGCGCAGTAAATCAGGTAGTACCCCTGGAGGAAGCCATTATAGATACAGAATAACATGCCAAAGAAAAGCAATTGCAGTGGGAAAGGTCTGCCTCTAGTGAAGAAAGGGTAAATAAATGTCCTAAGGTAGATAAGAAAAAAAAGTCAGCACATTGCTCATGATAACATTGTATTTGCAATTTCTCTGCTGTAGTGAAAAAAACTTGGACAAAGCACAAAGTAGAAAATAGGTCAATAAAGACAAAAAAATTGAAAATAACAGCAACAATATAAAGATCAGCAATTTATTTCGAACATGAAATCCTACAGACACACATCTTTTTCTGGTCCTTCAGGACTGCACCCAATGTGGGAAGTTAGAAAGCTCATCCAGATTCACTGATGCTTTGAGAATGTCTTTGTACCTTTCTCTACGCTTGTCGGTGAAAATGAGGAATTCATGCCCACAAACTGCATTTTCATTTCAAGACTTGATTTAATGCTCCAGTGGGCCAAGCAAGGATTGGTTGCTGCGGAGGGACATGGGGACATGATGTTCAGACATCACGGATGTTTGTGAAGGGCAGCACCAACTGCAATACTGATTCTCCAAACAAGGATTACTATGCCACAAGCATCGAGCATCGGGAGGAGCTTTGTTATGGAGAAGACATTTCTGATCCCTGAGGGCTTTAACCCATGGTGGCAGATGGGCTTGAAGGCAGTGCTGAGACCCCTCTGTCTCTCTCAGCCCCTGCAGTATACAGCCCAAGAGGAAATCTCCAGTCCCAGCCTCTCCCACTTCACTCAGAAGGAGACCCCCATGCATCTCTAACGCACAACAGCTCTGTCCTGCTCTGCTTGGACACTTCAGTGTAGGGGCAGAGCACTGGTTTTCCCTGCCTGGGGAGCTGCTTTACCTCCAGTCCCTGCCTCCCCTCCATGCTTTCAAGCTTTTGTTTAAAATAAGAAGAGCTACAGCCATAAGTTTAATATGCTAGACACCGAGATTTCCATGCAGCTACAGCACATAGGGCTTTCTTAGACAACATCTGTGCTCACAGTAGCATTAACATCTGTGTGAGCAAATAATTGGTGCTTGTAGAGTTTTAATTTTTATATATGTTTGCTTCAGGTGGGAGTATCCCCCTTGACCCTTCGGGCAATCCATATCATCCCTGGGAGAGTGAAACAAAGAAGTTATATTCATTTTTAGTAAGTATTTTCTTACCTGGCAAATTAAGTTCTGTAAGTGGAAAAATCTACACTCTGAATTTTTTTCTTTTGCCCTCTTGGGCTTTGGATGGTGCTCAACATACCAGTATATAAGCATTGCTGATAAATAATTCACATCCCATGTTGCAAGTGTCAACTTAAGCAAGCTGAGGCATAAAATCTCATAATATTATAAATCTAGATTAACTCATACTGTGTCTGGAAGTGAGTAAGCAGAGTACAAGCAGCAGCATGCTAATGTATTCACTGCTTTCCAAAGCAAGGCAGACTTCTAGCAATTAAGGCAGCTGTGATGCAGAAGTGCTAAATATTTTTAAAGAAAGAAAAACGTAAGAGGTATGGAAAATATTCTTCAGATAGTGGTATCACATTTATCATATTTATTACAGAATGGGAAGGAATGCTCTTTTGAGTAATGTTACCAATAATTACTGGCTTTGCCCTTTGGGAATGTGATGCTGGAGTTATGAGTAAGCAAGGCCAGCTTTAGCATTCTGATCTGCTGTTGAAGTCATATTGACAAATTCGACCTGAACAGTTATGAGAGAAAGTGTGAAAATTGCAAATGCAAGCTTGAAGACAGCAAATTGTATAGAAGAGGGAATTATGCAGACCACACAAAATTATTTAGGAGGTGAATTTATACAGCAGATTCAAGTAGGACTGGCACTGCTTTATCCTTTGCCAAAACCAGTCAGGTTTAAGAGCATCTGAGTTTTTACAGCTGAAGCAAACAGGAGTTTCTCAGGTTCCAGAAAAACTAATTGTTTACATGCTGCTTCCTGTTGCTGCTATTGCTGTAAAGGTTATAGGCCCTTGAAAGGTGACTTATCCTGCAGTAACAGGAGGCCACAAACCTCTCTGCCAGGCAGTGCATACAGGACAGAAAGAACTTGCATGCAAAATAAAAGTACAATGGCAGGGGAGCCAGGAGGCACCAGCTTTGTTTAGTTGTTGAGGCAGTAAAATCCTGGCATCACTGTAATCCTGCCTCATAGCAGTTTGGACAATCCAAGTCAGGATTTCATCCAAGAATCTTTGTTGTGGAACAAATTCTCCAAGGAAATCTCTGTGGGTCTGTTAAACCAGAGGCCAGATTCAATTCTCTGTATGAGATTGTACTACATGGCTAGTTGAGGGTGCACAAACTATTCCTGATGAGATTTGGAAAAGCAACAGAGATAAAGCAGGGACATTAAATAGTTTTAAATATTCCACGGAAGATTCTGAAGCTCTGCTGGAACTATTTTGCAGTGTGAAAACCAAAAAGGACCTGAGGACCACCATTTTAGAATAACAGAACAAATCTGGCCTTTTGGTTTTAGTCCAATGACAAATTTGACCTTTTACTTTTGGTGCGGTATTGATGACTAATTCATTACTCCTTTATTATCTTTACCAGCCAAAGGCACTACATCTGACTAAACCATTGCCAACAGCTTCTTTTTAAATGAATGAATAATGTATTATTCATTTTCTTCCCCATCATTTATTTTCCAAAAGAACAGGTTTTGAAGAGAAAATCATTTGACATTGCATCAGATTTCATCTTAGAGGTATTAGTCCACCTTCTTCAAAACTCTGGATACTCTCACCTAAACCCAGGGAAAGTATAGGTTTGCTCTTCTTTCCACAGAAGGTGGAAATCTTTTCACAAATGCTGTCCTAGATGCAGTATTTCAGACAGTAACAGCTCATTTATCACTCTGGAAGCTCAAGGTGTTTCACACCTGTGACAACTGGGTCAGGGGTGCCAAGAATGGAGGACACATGGCTCCCTCCAGGCCTGTGGACCACCAGCCTTGTGCTGTGTCTGCCCATCTGTGCCTCTGGGCAGAGAGAGCCATGGATGGACCTCCTCCTTCTGGGTCTAACCAGGATGAACAAAGGACTAGGAAGCAGAAAGACTGCAAGGTGAGCAGGGCTGATGTGGTGCCTTTCTCCTTGAAGGCAGGCACTGGCCGTAACCCAGCTTTGTCCTCCTCATGCTGGGGCACGGTCTGAATGCCCTGGCCCATCCCCTGTGACCCTGGCCAGCTTCCTGAAGAGAGCTATGGGCTTCTCCTGACCAGGAATGCTCTGAGTCCTTGCAGGGATTTTCTGGGTGGCAGGGCCTGCCCTGAATGGCTGGTGAGGATGAACCAAAGTGCCAAACAGTGCCTGAGAACCACTTCCCGTGGCCTGGGAAGTGCTCTGGCTCCTTTCTTGTCCCACCCAGATGTACAAAAAGTGTGGAGAGCTGGTGGCTCAGGTCAGGGCAGGCAGCCAAGCCCTCCCATGAGGGTGATGCCCTCAGGGAGCTCCCAGCTCATGTGTACACTGAGCTGACCCTGGAAAACACAGACAGGAGGGTGTTGTGCAGCTGCTGCAGGGCTCATGCAGCAGGTGAGACACCCTGCTCCATCGAGGGCCCATTTTGCAGCCCCCTTTCAAGCTCCCTGAAAACTCCTTGCTGAGGTGCTGTCTGCAGTTCTCACCACTCTACTGGTACCTTCTCAAACAAAGACCTCTCTAAGTAGAGGACAGTTCTCTAGACCCTGCTGCCCCTCCTTCCTCATGGGGTTGTTTTCATTTTCTTATTTGTACAAATACCTGTATCTCAGGTGATAAGAAAAACCTTGTGATTTGTGTTACACTAACCACAGACCAGTCAGACATGAAAGGATTGGCCTGCTATCAAACCATGGAATTACTTTCCCTCTTTTTTGTGCACAGATTGACAAGATTGGTGTCCAAACCTGGGGAGATTACAGACCAGTTCTCTTTGCACTGACCATTAACACCATAGGTTGTCACTGGAATCACCTTACTAGGGAGCTGCTGGCACCCTTAGCATACCTCACCACTTGGACAAAGGCTCAAGTTGTTCACAAACATGATGGACTTCTATTTGGGGTGGTTGTGATGACTTACACAAAGCCTCTAATTATTCTGGAGCGTTATGGATGCCAAATGAGATGTCCAAAGACATCTGCTGCTGATTAGTCTGCACATACTTTCTAAGCCCCATTCTGTAGGTTATTTGTAGGTTAAATGCACTCTGAGGTAATTTTAAACTTTTACTGGTTTTGAGTTTTGTTACACACAACTCAAATATGTCATTGGATATTTATAGGAGAAATCTGTCAAGTCCACACCAGGACACAATCTGGCACCTAACTTTCCTGTGGCCAATTAAAAATTTTCAGTTATCCCAGACTGGGGTAAAACAAATGTGATGGGTAAAAGTTCAGTTCCAAGCAGCAGGCTAATTTGCTATCAGTTTAAATGGAAAGTAAAAGAAAATACTCCAAAATACTTTCAAAAGTGAAATTAAGCATTTTAACCCTTCTTCATCATGATATCTACAGATGCCCCAGCATCACAATGCAGGTAGAAACTCCTCACCTGTCATATTCCTCTCCTCAAACATCCTACCCTGAGATGCTTTACCCTTCCCTTCCCCACTTACTCTGCAACAGACTGAGAACATCATCAGCCAGGAATATTTAGAGGAAAAGTAGGTTGTTAGCAGCTACTTGTACTGTGCAGGGTGGACCATATCCCTTTTGTTAGGGTCTGCACAGTGAGACATACTCTGTCACAAACTCAGGAACAAAATCTGGGTGCACACAGGGGACACACCAGCAATGCCAGCAGGCAGGAACCATGCACTGCCCATCCAGCCTCTGGCAATACCCTCTGCAGGTGCAGGACAGACAGCACACCTCATCTCCTGCAGTACTGCAGCTGTGTCTCATCTCCTGGTGTAAGGAAGCTGTAAATCCAGGAGCTGAGCTCTTTTTCTGGAGCTGATGCCCAGCCAGAGCTGCCTGAGGAGCCCACCACTGCAAGGTGTGGGCTGTGAGTGCCACTGGGTGATCCCAGCTGCAGGGCACATCTCCTGACTGGGACAGGAATGTTCCT